ATATCAATGAATTATCGATTTCATAACCACATCAATTAAGAGTTAAGCCGGTTAAGCTTTTTCATTTAAAAATATTTAAAAGGAGCGCGTATTACCAATCAACCTATTTTAGCATGAATATCATTTCTTCATCCGACCAAATGATTTGTAGAATCGCTCGACTATGGTAATATTGTGTAAATGTTTTACGTGCCCCCCCGACACTTGAGCGTTTACACGAAGGTTCAACCATTCACGCAGCAATAATTGAACAATTCCTTAAATATTGCTTTAATCGGAAGAGAGAATTCATTCGATAAACAACCACGGATCATTTTTTATTGTTTTATGCATTCCATCGACGCAAAAACTTATGCACCTGACGCACCACGTATTCATTGGACACTGCGATTTTCATTTTTTCTTTAAGTTATACCTAAAAAGCCAATTCATGAAACACATGCATTAAATTAAACACTTGTGCTGAAGGACGCGTGGAATCTTAAATATGATAAACGGCCTATAATGGGACTCGTTGCATGTATTATCTATACTTTGGCATGGAGAATGAAAATGTTCTCATTTTTTCATTGATGTCTGTGAAACCGTTCCATGAAATTACAGCAATGAAGGTACAGCAGCGTATTATTCTTTGACAGATACCCCAATTCGACACTTATCCCGGTATCTGCCGTTAAATTATGAGATCTAAAGAATAGTTCGCAATTCGAGTGCACCGTGTTTCATATTGTTTATATTGAATTTTCTTTATGCAAAAATTTCGGAGTATGTACAGGGTGAGATGATGTCTTGAATACGATGGGTTTTCTTTCTTTTCTACTTTTTATAATTCTATGTTGCTATTGCTATCATTCATTTCACTGTCTTTTAATTTCTTTGTTTTGTTACCCATTTCTATTTCATTGTATTTTTTTTTTTTTTTTTTCCTTATGAACAAAACTTAAGTGTCATAAAGCTGTGATGTCGATCTGTGATAGTAAAAAAAGTACAGTCAGAAACTCACTTTATAATAATAACCGCCATCTCTGAAGGATATAAATTAAAACGACGATGATATAATTACCGGGTTAATGAGAGTAATGTTCATCCTTGTCGAATGTTCGTGTCTTGATGCTTGTTGAATGCGTGCCTGATTTTCGGGGGTGAATCCGTGGATGAGGGTGACATATCTTAATCTCCGATGTCTTTCCAACCGGTTTATTTCGTCAGATGTAAATTTCTCCGATGATGATAGTTGTAATTCTTCTAGATTCTTAAATTTACAAATCGCCCTGACGAGCTTCTAATGGTTGGGATCGGTAATTAATTAGGTTGTTTGATCATAATGACTTCGATAAAAAAAAAAACTTGAAATGCCTCGTGTGATGGAAATACTTACGTTTTGATCCTTCTCTTGCAACCTACATTTGAGAACTAATGTCTTAATATTTGGACACCTCACCGCGAGCCTTTCTAAGGCGGCCGCGTCGATTTTATAATTCGATTTTTTGATCACTAAATCTTTGACGCAAGCCTCATAGACTTTCAAAACCCTCAGGGTTCCCTTGTTGCGGGCGGACAAGGTGTGCACCATCGACGCCATGGCATGCCACGAGTGATGTCGAATCGTGCACTCTTCTAACAATTTGCATTCTTTCGCGATGTTGATGAACGGCTGATCGGTCAACTTCGTACACGATATAATGATTATAGATCTTAGTTGGGTACAACAGTTGGCAACCTCCTCCATGCTCTCGTCGGTAATATAAGCATTATATGCGATCATGAGGTGCTTGAGCTTTGTGTTGCGATGCCGAGTTATTGCTTTGATTGAGGCATCGGTTAAATAGAAGCACATGAAAATTTCGATGGATTCCAGGTAATGACAATTCTCCACAATCGTCTCTAACGTGGCGTCTCGGATGTGCAAGGCGGCCAGGTAAAGTTGCCGCAGGCAAGGCTGGTGTTTTGCAAAGGCCGCAGAGAATAGGGAATAGTCCTGTTTATTGATAGTCCTTATCCTAAGTGACTCCAGTTTTGCAAATCGACCCGCCAACGACTCGGCGACTTCGTCGGTGATGTCATTTTCAAATTGTGAGCTTAAAGATTTGAGATTCTGCAGTCCGGTGATGAGCTCTTGCAGACCGGTGTCGTTGACGTATTTGCACTCAAAAGATCGTAAATTTGGGAAAGATCTTGTAATCATTCTGGCCAGCCTAAGGCTGCTGATCCGTTGGTGTAATTTCAAGGACACAATGTTCGAACAGTTTTCACCGATGTCGCGAAGAACGTCCAACGACCAATTCTTGCTGCAATCGTGTATCTCAAAGTGCTGTAATAGAGGACAGCTCCCTTGGCGTAGGGGAGTTAAGGCAACCTCCAACCACTCCTCGTCGCAATCGAGGACAGTCAGGGTAATCAGATTTGGTGCTTTTCTCAACATTTGTTCTACATTTAGATGGGTGAACGGTGGCTTCGTCGTGGCAAAGGTCAGGTGTCTCAGGTTTGGACATGTGCGAGAGATGAGCTTAAGATCGGCGGAGGAGAAGCCGAGGTCCATTCTATCATTACGATAGAGTTTAAATACGATTCTCCGAACCATGTGCCCGTAGAGGAATAAGGTCTTTCTTTTACGGAGCGAACGTATGAACAGTTGTGTAGACTCTGTGGAATACCATACAGGAGCTTTCCATAGTTTTCTCACGAAAACCTTGAGGCATGCAGGGAAAGGGTGAGGTAGACGCGAAGAGGAGGAAAGTGGATTTTTCAGCATAACTTTAGGAACATTCTTGCAAACAATGACATGCGCTTGTGAAAACACGTGAGAAAAAAATATATACCATAGTCCAAGTAGGATGTACGAAGAGACATTTGAAGATATCATCCTGACGTTCAAAGAAGGACGAGATGTTGAATAACACATCGGCAGTAAGCAAAGCGTTCTGCGCAGGGGTACGCCTCTCCATGAGTATTTTTTGGGGGGGTTGTTAAATAGAGAAGAGAAAAAAAAAAAGAAAAGAAAAGAAAAAAAAAAGGTAGGGAAGAGAGTGAAGTGAATTAAGGAGGTGGTTGGTGGTCATATTTATATAACCTTTCTGTGCTTTTTTACTAATCAAAATGTCAATTATAATAAGCATCACTTGAATAATCAAAGTTGTTACACGCTAATAATTTTATACGGTCGATTTATTCACCACAATGATCATTGTAGATTACCAGCCAATTAAAGACACCAGAGGTAACATTTTTTTGATAGATTGTGAATCAACCAAATCCAATTCTACTGTACTTGGAACCAGAGAAGGGTTCTTAGGTGTGTGGCTGTTTCGGCAGCATGCGTAAAAGAAATGAATTTACAAATGAGGGTTTCACCATATTTTTTCCCGTATGTAATTAGTATTTTTTTTTGTCCATCGTTCATTTACGAACCTATATTTTTTTTTTTTGTTTACGTTTGTTTGAGTGCGTGTCTCTGATGCTATTTTTCCATTTTCTCTCGCGATTAGGCGAGTTGGAGACGATTGGTCGTTGGACCGGCGATCATTTAACAAAAAAGTTGGGGAAGTCTTACAAATCTCGCTTTCCACATTCTTTGATCGTCGTTATTTTATTTTATTTTTTTTTTTGTTTGCTTGCACTGCCGGCCCCGAAAACGATAAAAAAAGAAAACCAACGCCGTATCACATCCCACTTTTTCTGTTAGAAAAGAGGTACGTTTACGATCTACGCAAACTGTTATTGTTGCACTAGTTTCGTTCATTGGTTTATGCGGGATTAGCAGGACCAAGAAACGAATTATTGTTATATACCGCATTACTATATATACAACAGTATACAGCGTATATTATAATTTTTATAATTTGTAATTATCATTGTTACTCAATTTTTCATTTATTAATCGTGATTCATTGACATCGAAGCTTCACCTTAACTGCACGCTCTATCGCTATTTGCCATTTCCCCTTGAGACAACAATATATGATTCTGTTATCTCCTCTGTTTCAATAAACCATAAATGGAAAAGGCGGTTAGCCCTGAATCGTTATACGAAATTCATTGTAAATTTACCCGTCTCATTCTAAGCTCAAATCTCTTACCGAATATTCATGATTCAATGCCTTCCATTTTTGGTTTGTGGAATGAACAGAAAACCGGCAATAATCCTTTAATGGAACCCAAAAATAAAAAAAAAGTTTAGTGATCAATTCATTCCCTACTTTTTTTGCATTGTAACGATTGCGTCATAATGCACGTGACGACTAAAGTGCTCATACCGTATTCCTCTCAAATACAACCTTAAAACCCGAATTAGTTTAGGTATGTACAGAAACCTGTTTTCTTGTCATACAATAACATTATGCCCAAAGTTGTATTCTTTTATTAACATTATTCCCAAAGAAAGTAATCTGATGACCCAATGAGAGTAGTAAATGCGCACATCCTATATATATTATATACTATATACGTATCACGGAAAACTTGGCAAAATAATAATAATAATAATAATAATAATAATAATAATAATGATAATGATAATGATAAATATTTTAAAAGCAGCCAAACTCCACATCCCAAAAAGAAAACAACACAGGAAAAAAAGAATAATTAGCGAGGAAGATATAAGCAATATGCCAAGAAGTCCACCAGCATACAGACAAAAATTCCAACACCAGTAGCAGTAGAAACAAACCAAGGCTACGAGCTTAACAAAGCTAAGGAACTTTCAGCAGCAACCTCCTTCAGTGGTACCAACATGGAAATTGATAATGTGATGTGCTTTGCTCAGGTGACAATTTTGACACATGATGACGGTTCACCTGATTTACCGTCAAATCAATTTGCACACATCTCTTCTAACGTCGAAAGCCAGTTTTCGCACAAATTATCATTATTATTATTAACATGAACGGCGGTAATAAATAGAATCTAGCGTTTGGATTTATAAACGTAAAATGCATACTTTACAAATCAAGTGTTATGCATCAAATAATCTTAAAAAGATTCTCCCTTCTCTAGTTTCCTGTTCCGGATTCTTTGCCGCCAGTCGCCCTTTATTGGCTCAAAATTTGGATTATTCGAGGCCTCCCCTGATTCTATCTGCTCCTTGACCCATACCTCCGGATCTTTGGGATAGGTTCCATTCTGTTGCTTTCTAACCTCCTCCCAATCGGTGTTGGCAAGGAAATCCTCGGCCGCCTTCCATTTCTCAACGAGCGTTGCCATCTTTTTGTTCTTGAACCCAGAACTCGTCACCTCCTTTTCTTTCTTTCGCTTCCTGTCATTTACACTGGTCGCACCTTGCCGCGAACCCGTTGCAGATCCGGCGCCATCATCGTCCGACGATTCCGAGTTGTCTGCCGCGACTCCAATCTGATGCGGAAGCGGGGGCAGTGGGGGCGGTGGAGGTGGTAGGGGTGGACGTGTCGATGCCGAGCTCTCCGAAAGTGTGTTGAGGCTTGTGATCAAATCGGGGCTTGGATATGTGAGTGAAATCTGATTCGTCTTTAGGTGCATCCAACTATGTTGTTGACTATCGGAATTCCATTTGCACGTCCAACCCGTTGGTGAAATCTGCTCTTCGATACTTCGAATCAACGTTTCCAATCTTTCCAAGATGGTTTTCTCGAAATAATAACTGTTCAAAGCTCCTACTTGCCAGTCGTATAATCTCGTGGCGAACTCAATTTGATGCCTTTCAAGTTTCATGTGCGTTGCCAGAGGGATGAGACCCGAAAGTCTTCCGTAGACATCCCGCGAACGAAGGTGTAGCGGAGAATCGGACGGCGGTGCGGTTAGCGAGGTGACGATATTGGGCTCATCTCTTCGACCGATTGCTGATAACTTGTTAATGTTATCGGCCTCTCGGTTGAGATCTTCTTGAGACGAGCTCATGCTGTGCACTGGACCCAAACTGTCGCTAGAAGCCGTCTTCAAATTATCGCCTTCGCCTAAGATTGCCGTGCATGTGATGGGATCAGAAACACCTTTTAGCACATCAATTTCCCATTGAGTTTCACCAGTCTTGCTGTTGTAATAGTAGTAGCAGTTATTCTCATGACTCCAGTATTGTTGCCACCCTCCTACGTGAAGTGGAGATTGCGAGGATTGTTCATCTTTCTTTGATTTGGACCTTTTCGAGTTGACACCAAATTCATCGGTCACCACCGAGGAGTCGTTGCTTATGGAGGTGACGGGGAGAGCGTTGATCTCGGACATGAAGTTTTTCAAGGCGATCTCTATGCTATCCTCGGATTGATCCATCGCGATCGATTGTTTGGATGTGGAAAGAGGGCGAGTTTGCGGTGATATCGGGAGGTCGAGTGACGATTTTCGGAAAACGACTTCAGCCTTTTCCGCGGGCGAAGACTCTGTCTGTGAATCCTCGACGTCCTCTTCATCTTCACTCTCACTGTATTCACCGAGAAGCTGTTGTAATGCATTTTTTGATTCTTGACATTTCCTCGCTTCATCAGCAGCTTTATTTTTCACTCTGATAGAAGAAATGGGTTGGTCTAGTTGAAGCATTGGCCGTCGTCTTGGAATGTCTCTTCGCTCCATGACGCAAAGAACATCACATTTACCGAGAGTGAGAAACAAGTGCTTCTAGCCCAATTTCACATGGTATGCATTAAAAGTTAAGTTAATCAAAATAATAAAATTTTAAATGAGGAACTGTCTGTGACATGAGAACGACATTCATTACTTATATATAATATATATATATTTATATATATTTATAAAAAAAAAAAAAATGAAAAAAAAAAAAAAAAAATGAAAAAAATGAAAAAGAGGAAAAAGAAAATAAAAATAAATGAAAAAAAAAAGAGGAAACTGTCATTCATCAAAAACGAAAAGGTGGCTTATCTGGTCCGTTGTTAAAACAGCTGTATTTATTAAGAGTTAATTATGTACATGACATTCGGAATTCGCACAGTTGATTTATGAATTTATCAATGAAGTATGGAATCAGGGAGTAAAGTAAATTAAAGCGAGTCGAAGTTAAAATTATGGCAACTTCGTTGACGACGACCTATGAGACAAAAACGACGGAGACTGGAGAACGAAAAAAAATAAAACCAAAAGATAATCTGCTGCGGCATGAAAACTTACGATATGTATGCAAAACAGTAACCAAAGGGCAAGCAAATTTTCTCCCCACGTTCACAGCGGCAAAGTATATATATATAATGTAAAAAGATTTGACCAATCGGCTGCGACGATGACATCACGAGGCGCAGAAAAGGATCACATTTTTACAAACGTGCAAACCAAAAAAAAATCAACTGTCTTTTTTCGATCATTGGATAAAGGAACGACTTTTATTCGAACATATTGATTCATAGAATTACTAGGTTCTGTTTCACGTATAATAAATAATACATAAACAAATCTTATTGGGTAAACTTAGAATTCTCCCAGCAATTCTTCATTCGAAGGGTATCTATCGGCTACGCAGCAAAATTTATCGTCGGCGGCTTACGATAATTTTTGCTTGAAACGCGGCGAAATATGAGTCTACCCTCGGGATGACACTCTTACGGCTGCTGCTAGGTGAACAAAAAGAGATGGATGCATACGCCTTTCTTTCTATCTCTCTCTCTCTATCTCTCTCTCTCTCTCTTTTTTTTTTTTTTTTTTGCATTTTTGACTGTCCTCAATACTCTACAACGCAACACCCCCTATTTCTCAAAGTCTCACCAATCTACTTGGATAATCGTGTCCAAGCATTAAATAACGAGCTAAACTAATACTAGTGAAAAAAAAAAAAACGAGAAATGAATGCTGACGGACGCATTCATTATTATTATGATTATTATATATATATAGATAGATAGATAGATATTTTTTTTTTTTTTTTTTGGTGTCGACTTTTTTTTTTAAAAGAAAATGTTTCATGAAACTATGCGAACATTCGGAAAAAGACGAACGGATAGTCGTAACCATCATTTGCCACTATCGCTGTAACGTTCGGTCCGAAGACGGACAGTAGAAAAATGTCGAATTCGATTGTGTAAATTTCTAAAACAACGAGAAACCAGGTTCCTCTGGTAGTGTGTCGTCGTCATCGTTGTTATGTGAGAAAGAGTTTCGCAGGGATGATGTGGAGGTGACCGTTGTCCTTCGTTGAATTGAAGACAAGGGCGGAAAAAACTGGGTACTTGAATCCATTGTGTCCTCATCATTCAGGTCGAATGAATCGAACACAGGCATGAGTGGTCCAGCCGAGGGACTATTGGGAATTGAGGTCGGTGTAGGAGGTGCGTCTGAAGGAATGAAGGTTTGAAGTGAGTTCGAATGAACTTGTGGGATGGAGTGAAGAAGGTTGTGTGTGCGTCTGTGAAAATACGTACTCAGTTCTGAATGAAACAAACAAAAATCCTGATGGATATCGACAAGAAAGGCGTTGTTGGGTCTTGGATCAATCGGGGAAGCAAATGTGAACCCATTGCTCGATTGTCTCCGTGGTTGTGGTAATAGTTGTTCACTCCGTTGTTGTAGTAACAGACGTTCTGAATAAGATTTTTCAATTTCAACGGCGAGAGTATGATAATAATCTTTCTCAGCCTGTGGTCTGTTATTCCACTCGGCTGATATCTCCTTCGACAATTGTTCGGTCAAGGTATTATTATTCGATGATCTTAAATAGTTCTCCGTAAATATTATAAAATCATTTGGAGGTATGCATGTTGACTTTGTCAATGGATTTAATCTGCCATACTCCTTGCTTTGTGAAGATGAAGCAGTGTTCTCGTTTTCTAATAATACTTCCACCCATTCTTGAACTTGGATGTCGAATGGGCTTAAACTAGAGGTTGGTTCCAAACCATGACCGCCGATCAATGTCACCTGTTTTCCAGCGGAGCTCAAAAGAGTATTCACTTCGTCAGCATCATTATTATCATTACCGCCAAATGAGTTTGCCGCCCCGTCAGCAAGTTTGTAGTTGTTGCTCATGGAGGCAGCGGCGCAGCCGTGAGGTATAAGGATTCAAAAAGAAGTTAGGCGTAATGAGTGTTTATATAGAAAATTCGTCTCTCACTGCGGCCAGTTGCCGATCGAATCACGCAGCAGAAATGTCGTTTGCCTAGCATAGTAATCACTGAATGTCAGAAAGATTTGCCGAATGTTTTTTTAAAATAGTCAGATCTTTTGTATGACAATGCACAATGAAAAAAACAAGTGAAGATCATGAATTTTCTTTATTTCACCAGCTTTCACCGTTAGCGCGTTCATCCAAACAATATGTTGCCAAATTCGCTGTACACTCTTCTTCCTTGCATCCCGGTCATCCTGATTCGTCACCCAGTGTGTCGGAATGTGAAGAAAAATGACTCTTAATTTATCACCGTAAGAACCAATAAAAGTATCATAAGGACGTAATCGGACTTTAAATTCCGCGCCTGTGGAATCATAATCACGAGTCTTGGAGGTGGATTTTATTAGGGACATGTCTCTCAATCCCCATCAGTATTTCTTTTCTTTGTTGTGTCAAGAAGTGCCATGACATCACCGCAAGAAGAATCTATTTGTAGAATGAGGCAAGCAATATTTGCAGAAATCTCCGACGAAATTCATTCGCCAAGAAAAGTTAAAGTTTTTCCGATACACTAATCGACACATTTCGCTCTTGCGTCTCAAGAGCTTTTCGGAATTTCCAAGCGTCCTCTTGTACCCGTCAAATGTCGTGGCAAGGTTTTCTTGGTCTCAGACTGTCCGCGATTAAAATTCTCATGTTTATCGCACAGCTATAAATTCGCGAGAGCCAAGTTCTACGCATTAACACAACTGTTTAGCATTGACAATGAGGTTTTCTCGCGTGGCTGTTACATAATGCCAACAATCTTCGGTCGCACACTTATCCTGTCACAGAAAGTGTACGTATATGCTAGTTTAATAATAAAATAAAGTCACTAATAAAGAAACTAACGCCAAGATGGAAACAAGGTTTATTGTAAAAATACATAAATTATTGTTTATTCTACGTATAAAGTACAATGGTACGAGTTTATTTGCATACCAAGGGTAAACTTCTTTTTAACGCCAACCACTGGACCATCTTTGCATGTCAAGATTGCCGTTACATTGAATCGATCAGACGATTATTGGGCGGGCGCAAACGATTCCTTCATGCACACAAACTTTAGTATTCTCTTATTATGCTGTTGTCGGAATAAGGAGAAATGAAAAAAAAAAAATTGGGGGAAAGATTTTTTTTTTTTTTCTCATCTTTGTTTCCGCACCGCGATTTCCTTATGCCCTAAATTTAGATTTCATATCTGCGCAAGGACGTCAGCGGTGTTGATCATGACGGACAGTTTCTCAGTGTGGTGGAAAGAAGGGTCGATTCAAGAAGTCAAGGGCAATAATCTAACGAAAAGGAAGGTTCTCCTTTTTACTAGATTATTTCAAACGTGAGTTATTTAACGTACGTAAGTACATGCGTACGCACGTATAAACTACTGTATCATCGGCATTTCACAATCAACATGGTAATATGAAGTCACACCAATGGCACCACAGAATTAAAAACAAAAAGGCGTTGTTGTTCACGTACGCACGTAAGCACCCATTTACAGCATGTCCACGCGGCAAACAAACAAACCCAGAAATCAAGCGAAGACACTGCGGACAAGAAATTCAATCGATTTAAATGCGCATTTATACAGTAGTATATCTGTGCGATCAGTGTTGAGTCGTTTTTATTAAGATCCGCAATATTTACCTTCCCCGAATCTCTTTTTCCTTACGATAGGGTTGTTATTATCCGTTTATATAAATAGCGGGATAAATTAAAAAATTAAGGTTAAACAATACTCTCGAGCGATCCTAATTGTTTGATATCATTTAAAGAATGATCTCTTTCAAGTTTCCTTCCATTTAAAGTAATATTTAATTTCACCTTATTATCTGCATTCCATTCTCCCCCAAATAATAATTTAAATTCATCATCAGACCTATTTTGAGCGATACCTGTTTATTTTTATATATGATAAATAATATCTGTCGTAAATATTTGTGTACTCTCTTCTACAAACATACGTGGTGTTTAACAATAGGAATTTTTGCGGAGGCTGATGATTTGGCCAAAATTGTGCATCATGGGGTTTCGGAATTTCCTTGGTGAAACGACGACGTATCCGTCTTTCAAAAATAAAGAGCCTTATTACTCCGTAATCGTCCTATCTTTGGTCCATCATTCATTTTATGTTTTCCATCTGTCTTTTTCGCCATTCACACACCTACACGCACACACATAACACAATACACTTGGTTTCCACAATTGTTGGGTGTATCGTGCGGAATAATCCTTTTGATCTAATTTGTACTTATGAACCCAATATTTTGCGCAACTGCGACTCGAAAGCCGCGACACATCTCAACTTTTCGGTACCGACGGAAATTTTTAAACAAACAATCGGTTAACCTGGATCCCGTGTGATCGCCTTGTCACCACGATGTTCGATAAACATCTCGGATTGGATTCATCAAATTCTTATGATCACATTTATTATTTGTAATATCGGTTTTCCTTGTATAATAATATACTGCATGTATTTTAAAGTATTCTGCTCTTCACTAAAAATTTTTATTCGTGGCAATTTTTTTTTTTTTGATAAAGCAAATCTTTATTCAAAAATAAATCTTGTATAATTTAAAACCTGTCAACTTCCAAAGAAATCTTTGAATAAAAAATTTTTGATTTACTGTATATTTTATTATTTTAAAAATACGGCACATTTGATTTAATATTTAAAAATAGAAATTTCATTATCACAATAATTTGGTCATTATGATTTTCTCAATTTAATTTAACTTACTCACGACCAAATATATAGTAGTGGCAAAAAATAAAATAAAAAAATAACAATTGATTTTCTTGGTTAAATAATATAAAAAATTTTTATTTGACAACACATAAAAAAATTATAATATAAAAAAAAATTTTTTTAAACAAGTATTAAGGTATAATATATAGTATATGATTTGTATAATTTTTGATTGTATAATTAAAGATTTAAAAATTGACAAAGTTGAAATTTACAATAAAAACATAATAAGTGAATGCAACCCTTTGAAAGTAATATATTTATATTTAAAAAAAATTGAAAAGTTGAAAAAAATAATAAAACAAATAAAAAATTTTAACATAATTAATCTTATATTTTAATTAATAAGAAATTAAAAAAATTATGGTTGCTTCAAAAAGTTTGAGTCCACTTACTATGTTTTTATTATAAATTTCAACTTTGACAATTTTTAAATTCTTAACTATACAATTAAAAATTATATAATTTATATATATTATATCTTAATACATATTCTATTTCTTATATTTTTTAAGAAATTTTTTTATTAATACATTCTAAAGTTTTATTATTGTTAAATATCTTTATTTTTTTATTAATTATCATATGGTTTATGATAACACCAATCAAAA